GCTGTTTTTAGTTAGTTGGTTGGCTGTTATTAGTTAGTTCTTGTTAAATGTCTTTAACCCTCTTCTATACAAGGGGCTGCTGTCTTCATTTGTTGTGTAGTTTTTTCAATCAATAAAATTCTCTCTCATTTGGTTTACATCAAATCTTCCGAGTCATTTCTTCTTGGATATACAGTCAAGGTCGTAGAAGAGCATTTAGTTGTTGATGCTGCTTTTGTTAACGGTTTTGAAAGTTCTAGTGTGGTCTCCTCGATTCTTAAAGGCTTTTATGGCTGAAGATGAAGATTTTTTGCCAAGTTTCCTAAATTTTTATGATTTTGTCATTGTTCTTTCTAATTCTTTTGTTTTGTTTCTTTTTCTCTCCCTTTAAATAATTTGGTTCCTTTTCATTAATCAAATGAGAAGTTCGTATCTTGTTAAAGAAAAAAAAAACTCTTGCTCTTCCAAAAATTCTGCTGAATCCAATTTTAGATGATGCCTTTTTTGTTGCAACCACTTGGTGTAGGCTTGGCAGAAGTTTCTGTAATTACTATTCAAACAATATTTTTGCTAATTGGAGTGCTTTTTCATAACCTCCTTTGGCTAGGGGCTGACTTTCCTTCCCTTTGCTTTAAACCCTAAACCCTAAGATCTTGAAGCATCCAAGATCTTTATATACAACCAGGTGGCCAAAAGTCAAAACCCTAAGATGAAAAGCTACTTACCTAGTTATCAGGAGTTTCCTAACTACCAACTAATGTGAGGACTATAATAGTCCACAATTTCAAATTTAGATTGTATCAAGGGTTTGAATTTTTAGGTGAAAAGAATGCCATCATATCATAGTGAAAGTTATACCCTCATCTTCTCTTGCAACCGTTTAGCATCAAATTGCTCCCCTTCAGTGAAAATGTCCAGAGAAGCCATTGATGCCATGGCGAGCTGACCTATGTATTCCTCAAAAAGTTCACTTCCGAAAAGCATCGCAAAAATTGCTGCAGGATCAATAATCGCATCACTGCAATCAAAGACAATAATGTAAAAACTTAAAAAAAAAAAAAAGGAAAACTTCACCCAGTAATTAGAAAAATAGAAGTACAAAGAAAAGGAGAGAGAGAGAGAAACTATATAGATGGGGGAGAAACTGACGTTGAGATTCCAGATTTCCCATGAGCATCATAAGCTTGCCTTTGAGCTGGATCACTTAATACTTGGTAAGCTTCACCTAGAACCTGATTCCAAATAAAAAAAGGAATGTTTAATTCTGCACAAATTTGCAAAGTGGAGTAACAAATAGAACGTGAAAAGCTAGTGTATCTGATTGTAAAGAAATAAGTTCAAAACACAACATAGACCTTACCTGGTTTCTAGCAAATGATTTCCACAAGGTTAAGGTAAAATCCATAAAACCAAATTACAGAAGTCCCATTTGTTGGTTGAAATTTCTGTAAGCAAAAACTAGTGGATTCTCATAACGCATAGTGATTTTCTAGGTGTTCGGTGCAGTCTAAATTTGTAATCTTTTTTATTTATTTTCTTTAACAAGAAACAACTTTTCATTGATATATGAAAAAGAGAAGAGGTCAAAGATACAAACTCCCAGAGTGAAAGAAAAAGATTAGAATAGAGGCTCGACAAGGAACAATATAATCAAGTTAAAAACAATACAAGTTAAAAATCATGACAAGAGGGGCCAAAAAACTTCATGAGTGAGACTTGGGGCATTACTAATCTTCCGAACTTAATTAGTTGAAGAATCCAAAAATGATGATCCCTGAAGTCATCCTTCAAATCTTTTAAGTAAGCTTGAAGTAACCGAGTCTGCTCTCAAAAGCTTTAAAGTAAAAATCTTCAAAAAAGTTTCAAACAACCAAGTGAAATTAAAGCTTCCGCCACTTCGCTTCCAAAAAAGAATTCAGAATCACAATGAGATAAAGCCTGCTGAGTTTTCAAAACTACTCCTTGCTTGCCAAACCAAAGCATCCAAGCTGACTTCAAGGGAAAATAACCTCGAACTGACAAAAACCACCAGAATGTTCAAGACTTGGAAATGCCTTTCAACTTCACAGGATATCATATGAAACCGAAGAAAGATAAAAGATGTGACCTTTCAATCTTCAGAAGACATAAACAATGGGCGGATCCAAGGAGAATCTAAACCTTTTCTGCTGCTTCTAACTGAGAATGGCCTTTCAGCTTCAAGAAGACCCTCACTTTCTTTCTTTCTTTCTTTCTTTTTTTTAATAACCGGGAGGCAGAGCTCTTCCCCCTATACCTAGGGGTACCAATACCCACCCAAAGGCCCGAACTTCGGAGACATCAAGGGTTTTTAGTATTAAACTCATCGGAAGGTTCGAACTTGAAACCTCTAAACCAGTATGACCATGAGACCCCAAGCCATTGCATCCCGCTTTCTTTAAAAACCTCAAACTGATGTTTGGAAAATCTCAAAGAAAAACAGATCTAGGAAACTGAAAGCACTCCAAGTCTTGAAAAGACCTTTCAACTTCTAAAGATATCTTCACACCTGATTTTAATGAGGTGATCTTTTAACTTCAAAACGACTCCTGCTCTGTTTACTTACTTCATCTCTTTGAATGGAATGTGATTTAGAATAAGAATTGTTTCTCACAGATGTTCCATGAAAGAATCTTCATGAGATACGTTCAAATGGAACAAGGGAGATCCAAAGGCTGATTCAAAATTCCAAGTATTTTAATTGTAACTGATTGATTGGTACAAGAGAAATACCTACTTCTTCAAAAAACGAGGTATCTCTTCTATCTTTTCATCTTCCTTGAACAAGAGATTAGCATCTTCTAGATAGATAAGTCACGAGAAATAATCAAAAGGGACTTTGAGGGAATCTGAAACAGTAGGCGAGTCTAGAAAACATACACTAACCGCCAAGTCTTCCTCATTATCTGAAAAGTCAAGAGGCACACGTCGAAATGCTGCCAAATCGTAGGTTGAGTGAATTGAACCGCGAGAGGCACACGTCGAAATGCGGCCAAATCGTTGGTGGAGTGAACCGAACCATGAGAAAGTGACCTTTCTGCTTCTTCATTGCCTTTCTTTGGCAGAAACAATATTTAATCTCTTTTAATTTTAACGATATTTCTAAATAAAACTAACATTATCTTGTCACAACCAACCCTGATTATATATTTGTAATTGTTGGTGGCCTCATGGCTTCTGATGCTCTAGAATTTTTTTTTTTTTTTTGGAATAAGATACGAACTTCTCATTGAAATAATGAAAAGGACATTCAAACAAACTCTCGAAATAGTGAAACATGAAAGAAAATAAACAAATAAAGAACTTAACAATTAACAATAAATACATCTCAGTTGGAGCAAACATGCTAGGGGAATAATTCCTAAATAATTTCGATAAAGAACACCATTGAGAAGCCTTGAACTTAGCTCTATTAGGGATGTTCAAAAAACCCGGTGACCTGAGCAACCCGGACAACCCAACCCAAACCGTAAGGGTTGGGTTGGGTTAGAAATTTTTTTGAGTTGGGTTGGGTTGATTTTTTCAAGAATCGAAAATTCGATTCGGTTCACAGGTTCAATAAGATTTTGGTTGGTTCAACCCGAATTGAACCAAACCGTTCATTAATTTAAAACAAATATTATATATATATATATATATATATCATATAATTAAAAGCTACGGTTTCCTTATACGGTTCCCCTTCTGCCTCTCCCCTTTTCTCTCACCTCCCCTCGCCCTTCATCCTCCCCTCCCTCTCCCTAATCTCACCTCCTTGATTTCCCT